TGGGACTCCCAAACCTTAAAAAAATAGACTAATCTCATATCCAACCACATTGATATTAAATTTTTATGAGAGCTAATAGTTTACCAGTTGATTTTCTTAAGTGCTCTAGATCATATTGTCTGCAGAAAATGTGCAATATTTTCCTGTTCCTATTTATAGGCTTTAATGTTAGGCCCTCTATATGATTCTACCAGTATACTTATGTTTCCAGCTTTTTGGTTTTTTTCTTAAGATTTATTTATTTATTTGTCAGAGAGCACAAGGGAGAGAGCGAGCATACACAGACACACAAGCAGGAGGAGTGGCAGGTTGAGGCAGAGGGAGAAGCAGGACCCCTCTGGGCAGGGAGTCCATTGTGGGACTCGATCCCAGAACCATGGGATCATGACCTGAGCTGAAGGCAGATGCTTAAATGACTGAGCCACCCAGGTGCCCCAGCCCGTTATTTCTTCTGTGGTTATTCTTCTTTTCTGATTTTTCTTGATTCAAGTTTGGGAATTTTCATTTTTCCAAGAATATCATCCATTATCTACTTTTTATTTCATTAAAAAATTTTAAAAATGTAAATGAATAGCCAAGAACAACTCAGAATACCAAACAAGATTTTATATGGATATACTAAATTTAAATGATAATTGTTAACATTAATAATGTTGTGGTCATTGTCCCTTAACATTAAACAAACATCTGCTTAGTCTATGCCTCCTCTTATACCCAGGCTCTCCTCCTTTGATTATGAAATATGTATCAAACAGAACACTTTGAAGTACCACATTAAATGTGATTCTTATACACTTGGTTGCAATATTTCTTTTAACATACTCTGTCAATAAATTTGGTACCCATCTGTATAGACATCTCTAGGCATTGATTTTTAGCTATCATGTCTGACCAGGTTTGGTTAGATATTTTGTCCAAATAGTAACAACAGTATTTCCCATCAAAGGTGCTCTTCCCATTAAGAGGTGGAGTTATGTTCCTTTCCCTTGAACTTGGGTGGGCCTTGTGATTGTTTCAACTAATAGAGTACAGTGGAAGTAAATGTTATGTGTGACTTCTAAAGCTAGTTCACAAAAGGCAATGCCGTTTTCACTCGCCTCTTCTCTTCACTGTTAGAAACAGCCACTATACTAATGAAACAGCCCAGGCCACATGAAGAGGTCTAACAGGAAGATCTAAGGACCTCAGTCCTCAGCCCTGGCTGAGCTGCCAGCCAACAGCCTGTACCAGCTCACCAGCAACACGTGTGACCCACTTTGGAAACCAGTCTGCTAGCTCTCAGTAGGGTTGTCCTAGCTGATCCCACATGGAACAGAGATGAACCTTCCCTGCCTGAGTCCTGACCAGACTGAAAATTTGTGAGCACAATCAATGACTATTTTTGTTTTATTTTTAATTTTTTTAAAAGATATTATTTATTTGAGAGAAGAGAGAGACAGTGAGGATGAGCGGGGGAGGGGGAGGGTAAGGAAAGGGGAGAGAGAGAGGGAGAGGGGGAAACAGACTCCCTAATGAGCAAGGAGCCTGATGCAGGGCTTGATCCCAGGACTCTGGGATCATGACCTGAGCCAAAGGCAGATGATTAACTGACTGAGCCACCAAGGCACCCCACTATTTTTGTTTTAAATCACTGTTTTGGGGTGCCTGGGTGGCTCAGTGGGTTAAAGTCTCTGCTTTCGGCTCAGGTCATGATCCCAGGGTCCTGGGATCGAGCCCCCCATTGGGCTCTCTGCTCAGCAGGGAGTCTGCTTCCTCCTCTCTCTCTCTGCCTGCCTCTCTGCCTACTTGTAATCTCTGTCTTTCAAATAAAATAAATAAAATCTTTAAAAAAATAAATCACTGTTTTGTTATGTACCAATTGATAAATGATACAAAGATAAATCTGAAAAGTTGTTGAGAGTGGGAAGCATATTGCTTCTGAATTTCTGTCCGTTCATTTAAAAACCTTCTTCTTATGGCTTCCATGAGACCACACTCTCTGTTTTCAATTTCACCTTTGTCCCTTTGCTGGCTTATCATTCTTTATGACCTGTAAATACTAATGTTCCCAAATGATTAATCCTGGGCCCTCTCCTTTTATTTGCCCTCTTCTCTAGCTGTACTTTCTCCCTAGGAGATCTCATGCAGACTTGTATTCTGGTGACTTCAAAATCTATGTCTCTCTCTATAGCATTTTTCTAAATTCCTGACTGGTATTTCGTTTTTTGTTTGTTTTTTTAAAGACTTGGTTTCTTTATTTAACAGAGAGAGATCACAAGTAGGCAGAGAGGCAGGCAGAGAAAGAGGAGGAAGCAGGCTCCCTGCCGAGCAGAGAGCCCGATGTGGGGCTCGATCCCAGCACCCTGAGAACATGACCTGAGCTGAAGGCAGAGGCTTAACCCACAGAGCCACCCAGGTGCCTCTGACTGGTATTTTGAACTGATCACTTCATATCTCCATTTAAATGTTTAGCAGCATTCTTTAACTTACTATGTTCAAACCAGAATCACTTTTTAATTTATTTAAAAATTTTTTTCCTAAAGATTTTATTTATTTATTTATTTGTCAAAGAGAGAACGCGAGCGAGCGAGAGAGCAAGAGAGCGAGAGCGAGAGAGCACACACAAGCAGGCAGATGGCCAGCAGAGGCAGAGGGAGAAGCAGGCTCCCTGCCAAGCAAGGAGCTTGATGTGGTACTTGATCCCAGGACCCTGGGATCATGACCTGAGCCAAAGGCAGAGACTTAACCCACTGAGCCACCCAAGTGTCTCTTATTTTTTAATTTTTTAAAAAAGATTTTATTTATTTACTTGAGAGAGTGAGAGAGAGAGCATGAGAGAGGAGAGGGTCAGAGGGAGAAGCAGACTCCCTGCTGAGCAGGGAGGCTGATGTGGAACTCGATCCCAGGACTCCAGGATCATCACCTGAGCTGAAGGCAGTCGCTTAACCAACTGGGCCTCCCAGGAGCCCCAGAATCACTTTTTTAAAGGAGTTATTTATATTGAGAAAGAAGGAGAGAGAGAGAGTGGGTGCATGGTTGGGGGGGGGGGCGTGAAGAGCAGGGGGAGAGAGAGAAAGAATCTCGAGCAGACTCCCTGCCAAGCACAGAGGCCAAAGTGGGGCTCCATCTCACAATTCTGAGATCATGACCTGAGCCAGAATCAAGAGTTGGATGTTTAACCAACTGAGCCACCCAGATGCCCCTCAAAGCAGAATTATTAGTCCTACACCCCCTGACCTATTTGTCCCCCAGTCTCCATTAGTCTCCACCAATCACCCAGTTGCTGTGGTAAAAAAATTTAGGATTTATCTTTGATTGGTTTCTTTCTCTCACTCTTTGCATGCAGACTATCAACAACATTAAGACTGGTGTGTAACCTTCTGCATCTCTCACTGTTTAAATATACTTATACAGGGACGCCTGGGTGGCTCAGTTGGTTGGACGACTGCCTTCAGCTCAGGCCATGATCCTGGAGTTCCAGGATCGAGTCCCGCATCGGGCTCCCGGCTCCGCGGGGAGTCTGCTTCTCTTTCTGACCTTCTTCTCACTCATGCTCTCTCTCACTGTCTCTCTCTCAAATAAATAAATAAAATCTTAAAAAAAATAAATATACTTATACAAGCACTTACATAAATAAGCATATATATGGCTTTTGGCTTTACTGGAATCAACTCCAAACACGTATTACTCTGGAACTTACATTTTTTCAGTTGATATATCCGTATCAGTAAATGCAGATTCAATTTTTTTTCCCCTCCCAGTTTTTTTTTTTTTTTAAAGATTTTTATTTATTTATTTGACAGAGAGAGAGAGAGAGAGCACAAGCGGAGGGAGCAGCAGGCAGCGAGAGAGGGAGAAGCAGCCTCCCCATTGAGCAGGGAAGCTGATGTGGGACTCGACCCCAGGACCCCGGAATCATGACCTAAGCCGAAGGCAGCTGCTTAACCAATCGAGCCACTCCGCATTCCTTCTCCCAACTTCTTAATGGATCTCCAGATATATACAAACATCTGTAGTTTATATATATACATGGACCACAATATATTTACTGGGGTATGGTGGTAATTTTCCCTTTCTCTCTCTCTCTCTTTTTTTTTTTTAAAGATTATTTATTTATTTCACAGAAGTCACAAGTAGGCAGAGAGGCAGGTGGAGAGAGTGGAGGAGGCAGGCTCCCTGCCGAGCAGAGAGCCCAATTCAGGGCTTGATCCCAAGACCCTGGGATCATGACCTGAGCTGAAGGCAGAGGCTTTAACCCACTGAGCCACCCAGGCACCCCTCTTCTTTTTTTTTGTTTTAAAAAATATTATATTTATTTGTTTATTTAAGAGAGAGGGAACATGCATGAATAGGGGGGAGAGGCAGAGGGAGAGGTAGAGGGTGAGAAGCAGACTCCCTACTGAGTGCTGATCCTGACATGGGGCTCAGTCCCAGGACGCTGAGATCATGACCTGAGCCGAGTTAGTAGATGCTTAACCGACTGAGCCACCCAGGCACCCTCTGCCTTTTTCTTCTTTTCTGTCACTTCCTCCTTCCTTCATTTCTCCCCACTCTCAAGTCAAGACTCATCTAAATGGCATATATCTACTTGTATCTTTCCCTGTACTCATAAAGTCAAACAAATATATGCATGTATATATAAGTTTAAGTGTCTTGTTTTTCCCACTCAACAAACTCCAAAACCTCATGGAAACTCCTCCAGAATTATCTAGTGTAGTGAAAATTCATCCTTCTAAATGACAGTGTAATATTCCTTAGCATGGATATTGTAAAATGTATTCCTCCATTCCCTTATTTATGAGCATTCTCTTTATTTCCCCCAACACAAGTAATGATACGAGTAATATCTCTGTACATTTATTCTTTGTACTAGTACTTTTATTTCTATAAACTAGAATTTTAAAAATAGAATTTGCTGGTCAAAGGACATATACAAGTTTTATTAAATAGTAAATAGATACAGTTATTAATCAATCAGAGGGTAGACAAAATAACAGTAAAACAAATAACTACGGACTTACCACCTAGTTTAAGAAATAGAGCTTTAGTGATTCTCTGGAGCCTCCTTGGTGCTCCCTTGTTTCCTTTTCCCCCTTTAGAAAAAAAAAAAACACCTGAGTTTTTTTTTTACTTTTCCTTTTGAGTTTCATCATGCTCAATTCCCTGCATAATCTGTTAATTTTGATTTGTAAAACTTCATATAAATGAAAAAAATATATATATTCTTTTACGTCTTTTTTTTCCTGGTCATTATATTCCTGAGATTCAACCATTTTGATAGATGGAGCTGAAAAGTTCATTCATGTTCAATGCTGTTTAATCATTCATTATATAAATATACTATGTTGTATGGACATTTGCCAATACTGCTATGGATATTCCTGAACATGGCCTTTGGTCTACATGTGCAAGTTTCTGTAGTTTGTATATCTAAGAGCATCATTGTTGGCCATGGGGGTATGCCCATACTCAACTTTACAACGTAATGGCAAATTGTTTTCCAAAGCCATTATACCAATTAACATCCCCACTAACACTGGATTGTGCCTGATTTCCCTGAAACATCTTCTCAAATGTTTCTTAGTCACTGGTTTTCTTCTTCGGTGGTACTTGCCAATTTAAAAAATTAGGTTTTACCTTTTTCCGATTTGCACAAATTCTTTGTATATTCTAGATCAGTGCTGTCCAATAGAAATAAAATGCAAGTCACAGATGTAATTTAAAGTGTTTTAGTAGCCACATTTGAAAAAGTGGTAAGAAACAGAAAAAATTAATTTTATTTTTTAAAGATTTATTTATTTATTCTAGAGAGTGGGGAAGAGGCAGAGGTAGAGAGAATGCTGAAGCAGTCTCCCCGCTCAGTGGGGAGCCTGATGCGGGGCTCTATTCCAGGACCCCAAGTATCATCACCAGAGCTGAAATCAAGAGTATGCCACTTAACCGACTAAGCCACCCAGGAATCCCTGGGCAAAATTAATTTTAATATTTTTTTTTTACTTAATAATACAAGCTACTTACCAAAATATTATCTTTTCAAGATGTAATACATAAAAAAAATTTTTTGGCACTCTTTGAAATCTGGAATCTATTTCATACTTACAGCACATCTTCATTTGGCCTACCTACATTTTAAGTACTCAACAGCCACACATGGTTAGTACCTACTGTACTGGGGTATAGCTCTAGGTACTTTTGTTGTTGTTATGTGTGTTGCAGATCTTTCCTTCTAGTTTATTATTTTTCCTTTCACATTTTGTCTTTTGAGGACAAAGTTTCAAGGGAGCTGAATTTTGACTTCTTTGGCTTGTACTTTGAATTTTAAGAACATTTTTTCTATCACATGGTCATGTCCCAAAGATATGATATTATTCTATATTTTATTCTAAATCTTTTCATGTTTTGCCTTTTCTACTGAAGTCTTCCATCCATCAGGAATTGACTTTTGGGTTAAATACAAAATAAGGATCCATTTTTACTTTCTCCCCAGATGGATAAGCAGTAAGATAACCCAGCTCTAATAGTTTGGTGTTGATGTTGTTTTTGCAAATGGTATGATTTATTTCGTTGTGCTTCCTATTTGCTGGATTATGGAAATGCAGTTGATTTTTTTTTTAATCTGAAAAACTTGAAGAAGTGTCATTATAAGTATTATTCTGTAAATTATTTTGGGTTTTCTAAGTAGACAATCATACCACCTGTAATAACAACTGGGCTTTTCATTCCTTACATGCTTTATTTCCTTTTTTTTTTTTTTTTTAAAAGACATGTTATTTATTTATTTATTTGAGAGACAGAGAAGGGAGAAGGAGAGAATCTCCAGCCGACTTTGCACTGAGCGCAGAGCCCTATGCAGGGCTCGATTCCATGATCCTGAGGTCATAACCTGAGCAAACCAAGAGTTGGAAGTTTAATCAACTGAGCCACCCAGAAGCCCCTTACATGTTTTATTTCTTTCATTGTTTTATTTTGCTAGCTAGGACTCAAATTCAATGTTGAATAGAAACGGTGACAGCAAATATTTTATTTTATTTTGAATTTCAAAAGAAATGCTTTATTTCATAATTATGTAGAATGATTGCTCTAGGTCTTTATCAGGTTAAGGAAATTTTTTTCTATTCCTGATTTGTTAAAGGTTTTTTTGTTCCTCTTTCTTTTCTTTTTTAAAAATTTGAGTGGCTCAGTCAGTTGAGTGTCTGCCTTTGGCTCAGGTCATGATCCCAGGTGCTGGGATAGAGTCCTGCATGGCAGGAGGGATTCCTTGCTCAGCGGGGAGCCTGCTTCTCCCTCTCCCTCTGCCTGCCAGCCCCCCTGCTTGTTCTCTCTCTCAAATAAATACATAAAATCTTTTAAAAAATTAATAACAGTTACAGAATTTCAACAAATATTTTTGCCTGCATCTAAAAGTATTTGGTTGTACCATCTTTATTAGCTTTCAATTGTGGCTGTAACAAATTATTACAACCTTAGAAGCTTAATACAGCACACATTTACTTTTTTACAGTTCTGCACACCAAAAGTCCAGTATGGATCGAACTGAACTAAGAACAGTGTTGTCAGGCTACATTCCATTCCGGAGGTTCTGTGAGAAAATCTACTTGCTCATCTGGGTTATTGGTAGGATTCAGTCCCTAGAAGTTGTAGGACCACAGTCCCTGTTTTCTTGCTGCCTGTAAAATGAGCGAGGGTCATTCTCATCTTGCAGAGGCTGCCACATTTCTTGCCTCACGGCCCTTTTCCTCCATTTTCAAAGCCAGCAACAGGCAGATTGAGTCCTTGTCCTTTTCATCTCTGACCAACACTTTTGCCTTCCTCTTTCATTTTTAAGGACTTGTGATTAGATTGGGTGCAGATAATCAAAAGATAACCTCTCCATCCTAAGGTCTGGAACTTGATCACATCAAAGTCCCTTTTGCCACACAAAGAAACATATTCTCAGGTTCCAGGGGTTAGGAAGTGGACACCTCTGGGGAACTATTCTGCCTACCACACTATCATAATTTGTTAATATGGTGAATTACTTTAAAAAGTTTGTAATATTGAACCCCAACTTTCATTCCTGAAATTCAACTTGGTCCTGACTTTTTATCTGTTTTAATAAATTGCTAGATTTGCTTTAGTATTTTGTTCAGGATCATTCCATCTTTGTTCAAGAATGAGAATAGCTTGTAACTTTTCCTTTCTTGTCGTATCCTTGCCTGTCTGGATCTGTCTGTCCATCTGTTCATCCATCCCTTCTTTTCTTTTCGAGAGAAAACTGACTATTAATTTATTTTTTAATGGTTTTAGGACCAGATAGGCTTTCCATTTCTCATTGAGTTAGTTTTGCTACTTTGCAACATTTCAGAAAGTTGTCCAAGTTGATTTAAGTTTTCAAATTTATTGGTATCAAATTGTTCATTTTTGGGGTTAATTTTATAATCCCTGTAGTTTCTATAATTTGTCCCTCTTTTCCTTATTTGTATGTTCTTTACATTATTCTTCTTTACATTATTTATTTGTATCTTCTATTTTTTCCCCAATTTGTCAGGAGTTGTTCTATAGTCTCTTAAAAGAAATAATTATTGGCTTGGTGCATCTTCTACATTATATGCCATTTCTTTGATTTTGTACTCTCATCTCACTTTTTCTTTACTTCTACTTTAGTTCTTAAATTTGACATGTGATTTGTCAATTTTGTCTTTTTTCTCCTGTAACATAAGTATTTTCTTAACTCCCCTCTACTTAGTGCTTTAGCTATATTCTATGACTTTGCTATTTGTTTCACTGTTTTTGTGTTATTGAGAAATAATTGACATAAATCACTATATAAGTTTAAGGCATATAGCAAGATGGATTTACATATGTTTTGATTACTACAGTAGGTTCTGCTAAAACTCATCTTCTCATATAGAAAAAACAAGAAAATTTTTTTTCCTAGTAATGAGAATCCAGGATTTACATTTCATTGTTCTTTAGTTGCGATTACTTCCTGATTCCCATTGTTTTTTTTTTCTGACTATAAGCATGCTTTTGAATATTCAAATGTGTTCTTTTCCCTCTAGTGATTTCTTTCTTTCTTTCTTTTTTTTTTTTTTAAGATTTTATTTACTTATTTGACAGAGAGAGAGAGAGATCACAAGCAGGCAGAAAGGCAGGCAGAAAGAGAGGGGGGGAAGCAGGCTCCCCGCTGACATAGACTGCCCCCTCTCCTGCCACAACACGGGCTCAATCCCAGGACCTTGAGATCATGATCACTGAGCCACCGAGATGTCCCTATCTCTCTCTTTTTAAAAAGATTTTATTTTTTTTTATTTGACACACAGAGACAGAGAGAGGGAGAAAATGAGCCAGAGAGCACAAGCGGGGGAATGGGGAAGCAGGCTCCCCACCGAGTACGGAACCTGGTGCAGGGCTTGATCCCAGGACCCTGGGATCATGCCCTGAGCCAAAGGTAGACAGTTAACCAACTGAGCCACCAGGCGCCTCCTTAGTGATTTCTAACTTAACTGCTTATTTGTCAGAGAACATGGCTTATGCAACATCAATCATCTGAAATTTGTTGACAATTAGTACATAGACTTACATGTATGTGATCAATTTTCATAAACATTCCACACATGCACCTTAGAAAAATATGAGTGCTCTGTTGAGTTTAACAGTTTAGATATGTCTATTAATTCAATCTTTTTAATTATGTTGTTCATATCTTCTGATTCTTGTCTATAATATCTATCCATTATTTTGAGGTATGTTAAAAACTCCACTATGGTGGGAAATTCATTATTCTTGTAGTTTTGTCAAATTTTGCTTTTTGTATCTTAAGGACATGTAATTATGTGCATGCATGTTTAGAATTCTGAAGTCCTGGGGCGTCTGGGTGGCTCAGACAGTTAAGCATCTGCTTTCAGCTCAAGTCAAGATCCTGGAGTCCTGGGATCAAGCCCCATGTTGGGCTCCCTGCTCAGCATGGAGCCTGCTTCTCCCTCTGCCTCCCCTGGCTCCTTCTCTCTTCCTGGCTCACTCTCTCTCTCAAATAAATAAAATCTTAAAAAAAAAAAAAAAAAGGAATTCTGAAGTCCTAGGGTCCTGAACTTAACATTATTTAGTACCCTTCATTTCTTCTTTTTTTTTTTTTTTAATTTATTTATTTGTTAGAGAGAGAGAGAGAGAGCACAGGCAGACAGAGTGATAGGCAGAGGCAGAAGGAGAAGCAGGCTCCCTGCCCAGCAAGGAGCCCGATGTGGGACTTGATCCCAGGACGCTGGGATCATGACCTGAGCCGAAGGCAGCCGCTTAACCATATGAACTACCCAGGCGTCCCCCCTTCACTTATTCCTAGTCTGATGTTACCATCTTTCTACTGATATATTAGCCTGACGTGTTTTTTCATCCTTTTACATTTTTCTATGTTTGGTTTTAAGAATGTCTCAGAAATAGCATATGGTTGAATTTTGTTTCCTTGTCTGTTTTATAATTTAAAAAAAAAAGATATTTTAAAAGATGAGATATTTTAAAGATTTTATTTATTTATTTATTTAATTTATTTGACAGAGAGAGATCACAAGTAGGCAGAGAGGCAGGCGGGGAGGTGGGGGGGGGGAGCAGGCTCCCTGCTGAGCAGAGAGCCCGATGTGAGGCTTGATCCCAGGACCCTGAGATCATGACCTGAGACAAAGGCAGAGGCTTGACCCACTGAGCCACCCAGGTGCCCCAAAGATGAGATATTCTAACTTGAGTACTTAAAAGAATAAAGCTTAATCCATATTTTTACCCGTTTCCCAAATAATACAAGGACGCTGTAAAACTTTAACTCCAATCATCACCCCATCCTTCACACTTCCAAATTATGATTTTGTTGTCTAGGATATGAGTTCTATCTTGCTTTAGTCTTTTAACCACGCAAATTATTATTATTATTACTTTGTTACTTTTTTAGTTTTAACCACTTATTTACCAATTTCTTTGCTTATTGTTCCTTTTTCTATCAGGGAGTATGTTCTGTTGGTAGTAAACTCCAGATTTTTTTGTCTGAAAATATCTTGAATCAGATAGCCAGGTTCAAATCCTGACTCTACTTTTCTTAGTCATGTGACCCTAGATAAGTCCCTTAACCTCTGGGGTTTTTGGTTTACTAATTTGTGAAACTGAGTTTCATCCTTTCCTGGGAGAGACAAAGCTGGGAAGGAAGATGTAATAAGCAGCTCCTGAGATGAATTCTCTGGAAGGATGCCAAGATCCAGAACACAACAAAACAAACACTACAATCACTTGCCTGAGTGTCTGGTACTCTCGTAGGGAAGACAAGATTAACACACAATGAAAAGAAATTAATACTATTCTTGTGTACTTGAGGGTTAAGTGTATGGTTCTTTCAAGTCAGCACTTTCAAGACCAGTAACATGGTTGGCTCCTAGGAGCTTACAAAGGAGTCTTCGCAGAAGACAGTGCTTACCTGATGTCAGCAGCTTATCAGCTCCTCAACAATCTAGTCTTGACCGAAAAATCCAACATAAACACTTCAGAGCTTCTAAAAGAAAAAGAAAAAAATTAAAAAAAAAAAAAAAAGGAAGGCTTTCAAAAGAGTAGCCAAGTAAGTATTCGTTAAACACCTGGTATATACAGGGCCAAACACTATAAAATATTAAAGACAATAATGCTTCTGCCATTAATGAACTTATGAGCTGGGAAGTTAGACTTATGTAATGAAAGTCAGTTAACAAAGAAGTACGAAAGAGAGAAAGACAACTACAGAGTACAATACTACTATATAGGAAGGTGCTAATTTGATACAAATAATGTATGTGATAGAATTCAATATAGGTTGTGTATTGTTTTCTAGATTCCTCTGAAGTTGTGTTGAGATCTGCAGATTGAACATGATTAAAAATCAATAATTATCCTCTTCCCTCTAAGGAATTCCAGAGCCAAAGAGTGTCAAAGATTTGTGTAGAACAGCTAAAATAACCATTATTCTAAATTATGCTACCGTTCTTTTGTATACTGACTAAATCTAAAATAACTTACAAGTATGTTGAGCCTTAGGAAAATATATAAATTTGTAAGGTAGCTAACTTTTTAATGCATAGCTATTAGTTTACATGTACTAATTTTCTTTCTCAGACATTATCACATTTCATGTTCCCTAATGCTAAGGTGTTGGTTTTATAGATTTCTATCCTACAGATTAGTAAATACATATTTAAACCACTTGATCCAAGGTTTTCATTTGTAGAGTAATACACATTGTTCTAAAAACTATCTCATATTTTTTAATTAATGGAAATGAATTCATTTCAGTTAGAATATTTTTTTGATCTACTAAAACTAAACAGGAAAACACCATTAAAAGTTGTATATAACAGCTTCTAAATATCCACTCATGTTTCTTTTTTTTTGAGAGCACGCACATGCCCAAGGGTGGAGAAGAGCAGCAGAGAGGGAAAGAGAATGAACCTTCCGTGGCCTCCACAACCAATCATGTTTCTGTTCTAATGCTAGGATGGACCTGTGTGTATGTATGATTTTATGGTTAATATACACTTACAGTATCAGGCAATTTTTGGTTCCCAGAGACCAAACAAAGAAAAATACATTTTTGGAATATGTAATACAGACCATTCCTCTATTCAAAAGTAGGGGGGGTGGGGGAGAGAACGAATAGATGATAAGGATCATTGACGGCTGGGAACAGATTCAAGATAATATTTAAATGGTCAAGGAAACTGAGTTAGTATCTCACAAATTGTTGTGATTTACACGAGTCTCATACTGGCAAGCCTGAACTTTCAAACATTTGATTTTGATATAAAACCCAGCTTGTGTCTATTATTCATGTATACTCCCAAACCGCCTCTTTCATACGATATCCAACCTTTCATGTATCAGCAAATGACTATTAACTCCAATCTATGGCTACCAGGAATAGGCCTGCCTCTGCCAAGGTGAGTTTTTGAGGGAGCATGTGGGTAGAAATATAATTTCCCACGCTGCCCTGCTCACACTCCCAATGTTGGCCTTGTTGCCACTGCCAACCCTGCCCCCTCTCGGCAAAGCAAAGGACTTTGAGGAGTTCTAGGACTGAAGGCCTAGGGCTTGCTTGTCTTTTCCAAATTGGCATCTCTTGAGGAGCACAACCAGTACCCTGATAATCCCCATCTGGAGAAAAGATTTGGTTAGAGACAAGTGGGATGGGAAGAAGCAACAGTAAGTGGGTAGGAGTGGCTTCCCCATTCAGCTCCAGCTGTGGGTTCAAGGCGGAATGACTATTTCCCTCTCTCCTAGAGCTTTAGCCACATTTCCACTAAGGTAGCATAGCTTTGGCCTGGGTACAGTGAAAAAAATAAAAAGGTACTACCTGGTGACACCTTAGAGTACCTCACTATCTTCATTGTATGGCTTTTGTGGGTGTCGGTTCTAAGAACAGTCTTGTTAATATATTACCTTAAAAATTTTTACAAGTAGCAGTTTGGAGACTGTGCTCAAGAGATCAACTATCTAACTTGGGGCCAAAAGGGTCCCCTAAGGCAAGAGATGCCAGAGTCAAGTTTGTTTCAGGGTCGCTAAAGGCTGCCCTAGGGTACCCTGGGATGGGATGGTCTGGGTCAACAGGAAGCAGTAATGGCAAGAACAATTAGGAAGGTTTTTATTTTCAGCACTCTAGGAATTAATACCTCTTATGTTTTGTCTTAAGACTTCTGACATTTTTCCCTCAAACACATTTGCAGAAGGCTTTATGTAACAAAGTAGGAGACAGTCACTATCTAATAATGCTAAAGACAAAATTATTCCATGGCTTTGATCAAGAGGCCAGACCCAAGAATATGTTCTGAGGATGCATTCTCTTTGAATTTAAAATATGTGCGCAAAAACCCTGGTACAATAACAGATGAGGGCATTTAACAGTATTCAATCTTCCAACAATCTTGCATGAAAAGTAACCAGGCCCAGTGTCATATACTGGAAAGTGGCAGGGCTGGTATCTGATGCAAAGCAGAGTCAGCTCTTAACCACTGCACTGAAATAAAAGGTCTGATTAACTTTTGACATTTACTGGAAGTTAGAGCTTTACAAATATTCTCTCCTTTAATCCTTGCAACAGTGACAGACCTGTCCACATTAACATTCTCATCTTACAATGAGAAAAAAAAGCACAGAGAAATTATGTAACATTCATGGTCTGTAAAGAAGTGGTCATGAGAGACTTGAACCTAGGGAATCAGATGGGCCCTGTACCTGGATTCTATGCCTAAAGGCAACAGAAAAAAATGCTAACATAATCCCTAAGTGAGAAATGATAAAACGCTGGTAGAGACTGCCGGCATATGCATATGTGCATGCACACACACTTACAGGATATAAAAAAGAGCTGGTAAATGTGTGTGTTCACTAAGATCTCATTTCAGTAATTAGGACACACACTGTCTGGGTTTAGGCTGCTGTAACAGAATACCATACAGACTGGGTGGCTATAAACAACTGACATTTATTTCTGACAGTTCTGGAGGCTAGAAATCCCAGAGCAGGGCGCAGGCATGGCTGAACTCTGGTGGGAGAACTCTCCGAGGTTGCAGCCTCCTGCTGTTTTCTCCTGGTTATCTTCCCTCACAGGGCAGACAGGAAGAGGTCAATGGGGTCTCTTTTATAAGGGCACTAATCCCATTCAGGAGGGCTCCACCCTTATGACTTAATCACCCTAAGACCCCACCTCCTAAAACCCGGGAGCTTAGGATTTTTAACGTAGACTGGGCGGGTGGGAGGCACACGGTCAGTCCGCGACACATACTCCCAAACCACTGCTTGCTGTTAAATTCCTATTTGAAATGATAGCGACCCACCCCACCCCTACCCCGCCGAAGCTGGTCGATCGTATGAACTCCCAATTTCCAAAATGATCAACTGCCATAAACTCTTCAATGTCCTAAACGTTTAGCTAAAGGCTTTGTGCATTCTTGTTTCTCCTCCCCAAAATAAAAACCATAGCCCTTTCAAGCTGTCCTGTTTACTCTCACCTCGTCATTTTCGCAGGAAAGTGATCAACAGCCTTGGACTAGGACGTCTGTTCCGAGGCCTTAAGAGCCCCGCGGAAGACGGGCCCTGCGGCCTTGCAGAGTTGGGGTGGGGGCATAAGACCCAGAAGGAGGCGGGGAGGTGGAGGGGGCGTCCCGGGAGCTCGGCCTCCGGGCGAATCCCGGGCCTGGCTCCGTTTCCGTATCTGCTGAGGTGGGGGAGATGAAGAGGCAAGGGGGAGCGAAAGCGAGGAGGAGAAATAAAGAGAAGGGCGAGAGGCTCGGGAGGCGCGGCGAGCGCGGTACCTCAGAGCTCGGAGGCCCGGGAGGCGGGCCCTTGACGCCGCCGCGGTGGGCTCCGCTGCTCCGGACGGGCAGGTCTTCCCAGGCGGCGGGGCAGGAAGGGTAGAGTCCCGGCGGGCTCGGGCCGTTCCCCCGACGTTGCCAGCCAACAGCCCGGGGCTGGGCCGGGTCACGCCTCAGCCCCCCGCCGCCTCGGTGGGCCCGAGGGAGGGGTCGCGGCGGCTTCGCCGCTCGGGGTCCGGCGCTTATTGTTCCGGGAAGCCGCGGGCAGCATCTGGCCCGCCGACCCGCCCCCGCCTGGGGTCGCCCGGCAGCTGCGGGAGCGCCGACTGGCGGCTGACGCGCGGTCCGTGCGTGTCCCTTTAAGGGGCCGGGCCTGAGCGGCGGAGGGGCTGGCGGGGTGCGCGTCGCTCCCCGTGTGAGTGTGTGGGGGAGAGAGCGGCGGGCGGGCGCTGGAGGGAGGGAGGGAACGAGCGAGCAAGCGACGCGGGCCGCCCCTGCCGCCGCCGCCGCCGCGGTCGGACCAGCGGCCTCCTCCCCTCCCCTCCCCTCCCCTCCCGCGCGTTGCCCTGCCGCGGGGAGGGGGCTCGCGTCGCCGCTTCCAGCAGCTCCTGATGAAGCAGCTGCCGCCGCAGCCGCCTCCGAAGATGGGGGATTTCTACGACCCCGAGCACCCGACCCCTGAGTAAGTATCTGCTCCGCGGCCCGCCGCGGCCGCCCTCCGCCAGAGCCCCGAGGGCGGCGCGTCCTGACGGGCGGCGGCGCGGGCCGGCGCGAGGAGTAACGGGCCCGCGGTGGACTCGCGCGGTCGGCGTGGGGAGCAGGCCCGCGCCGCCGCAGCCGCCGCTTCTCGCCAGGGCCGCGGCGGGTCGGCGGTTGGGCCCGGCGTTGGCGCGGCTGCTCGCGTCGCAGCGGCGGTTGGGCCGGGCCGGTGGGGGAGGGGCGGCCACGGCCTCCGCCGCCGCGTCCGCACCGACCCGGCCGGCCCGAGGCTCGGTGGACTCCTCAGGCTCCTCGCGGTGCGCGCAGGCCGCGCGGCAGGGAAAGGGGCCGAGACAGAGGAGCTGCCGGTGTCGGAGTCAGCGAGAGGGCACCGGCGAGGGTAGGCCGCGAATCCCCGGGCTCGGGTGGAAGCCCGGCCCGTCGCCCGGCCTGTCGCCCGGCCTCCCGGCGACGGCGGCTGGGACCGGAAGGGCCTAGCGTGCCTCCCTCGGCTTGGGGCCGCGGAGGCTCCAGGCTGCACTCTCAGGTTTGATTTTTTTCCCTCCTGGAACTCGATCCTGGCCTTGCAGTGCTTCCGGCTTCAGCTTCTGCACCTCTGGCACTTCGGTTTTGTAATGGTGGCGAGGTTTGTGTGGCCCCGATGTTGAGGTGACACCGGGTTTGTTTTTCCGCCCGAAAATGAAAGCCTTCGGAGGGGCAGACGTTCTCTTCCAGATTGTGGGATTTGCACACTTTCGGACACTACTTCCTCGATAACAGGACCCTTTTACCCTAAATGGATGACTTTCTACTTCTCATAAAGACTTACTTAAAAACCGAGGATCGTTTGAGGATTCTCTGAAGAGACAGCAGTCTAGAAACCTGAAATACAGTTTTGCCCGATAGTATTTTTTCAGAGTTGGACTTTTTTTTTTTTTTTTTTTTTTTAATTTCTGGGTAGGGTTGTATCTGCTACTGTATCTGATACCTCGGAGAGCTTCCACTCGAGAGCCTGGATTCACTTCTTTCCTTATGCCCTCACAAGACTATTGTTTTAAAAAGCTATCTGAAACTCCATTTGCTGGTGTTGGTTGAAGTCTAGACCTACGAATATACGACTCATTTTAAACTTAACGGTTGGTAGGGATTTCAGATGAAACTGTCACTTTTATGTGCAGAAGGATTCCAAGAGATTTGCTCTTTTGACACATTTTATTAGCTCAGCTATCTTTTTTTTTTTTTTTAACCCTTTGCTAAAGCTTTTCCACTTGGTCCAGTAATGTCTGGATCTTACTTGGTAGTTCTTAGATTCATTTGCAACACAGAAGGATGATATTGGGATATTGATGGTGGTTTCTGCACACAAAGAGAAATAATTATACTACCTTTCTAGACAAACCCAGCTCTTATTTTTGATAGTAAGTTGTCTCAACATGGCTTTATCCTTTCTTGGGTTCTTTGGTTTTAGGTTAACATTACCTCAGTTAGATTGTTTTAATTTACTGCACCATCGACAGTCCGGTTACAAAGCTCATGTTGTATATAGGCTTTTGGTATGAGACTTGGAGAACCTCAAACCATTCTGTATCATGATCCAATAAACACTTATTGAACAGTTGTCCTGTACAAAAAAACATGCTAGCCCCTGATTGGACTAAGTGCCTGCTTACCTTTCTTTTTATCAGTTTATGTGGTGAAGTCCAGAAGCCTTAAGGATCACATCCTTACACTTCTTGGGGAAAATATAATTTTTCATAATGTGGGAAAATGGACTCAGAAGTGCATCTTTGATGGACCTGAGTGGGGAGGAATCAAGAATGTTTATTGTTTGACACAGGTCTTGGAGTTATTTCCACTGCTTTTATGTCGCCACCGCTTTGCATTTTTAAGTGACTAAGTTCCTAAGTGTGTGTGTGTGTGTGTGTGTGTGTGTATTAACCTGCATGTGTATGAAAAGAATTATAACACATTTTCTGTTATAATACTGAAGAACTAGAAGGGATCTTAGTAGGCATCCTGAACAACATCACCTGTTTGTCAGATGCAGGAACTGAAACCCAGAGAAATGAAGTGACAAGAGGCCCTCTGAGGTAGTATGTAGAAGCTAGTCAGAAGGGGGAAAAGCAGTACAGTGTAGGGTTAAAGAACTTGGATTTCAGAGTCAGACATCCCTGGGTTTGAACTCTAGTTGAACCTTGGACAAGTGTCTCCATCTCTCTAAGCTTGGGTTTTCCCATCTTCAAAATAGTGATTGTGATGGTAGCAACCTCATAGGGCTTTGGGGAGGACTGGATGAGAAAGAAGAATATATGAAAAGCCCTTGGCACAGAGTGTGGCATGTATAAATGCTTCTAGCTGGGGTCATCAGGGAAAACTTAAGAGGCAGGATTTAAAGTCAAGCTTGGAAAGATTAGGTAGACTGGAGGGGGTGATGTGCCCGGGGGAAGGAATGACCAAGTGCCCCTTTTAGACTTTAGGTAGTTTGGAATGGTTCTTAGACACGTGAAAAAATTGAGGCAGGAAACATAAATTCAGTTTGATTGAAGTAACTGTTGGAACCTGATGTTCTGTGTTTGTCTTGCACTCTTTAATCAGTCACAGCTGTGAGACCTGGCCTTTTTTCCTGTGGCATATAGGATTGTGTTTCAGGTGAAAATGGCTGTAATCACCTGAGTATCTGTGCATTAGGTGTCTGCTGTTGGGGCCAGGTGTTGAGGACACTGCAAATTAGATCCAGTTAAAGTCTTAAAGGAACTCTTCTAATAAGAGAGGCAAGTACTTAACAGCTGTAGAAGTGCTGTTCTTTGAACATATGCATGTCTATTTTGTGCCAAACATAGGTGCACTAGAGGTGAGTGTTGTACAAAACAGAATTTTGCCCTTGTGGGCACCCCTCCTAGTGATGGGTAGTAATGAATAATACAGAATAGTCAAAGGAAAGTGCTTTGAAAAATGGAGCAAGGTAAGGGGGAATCCAGAATTTCTGGGGAAGATGTGACATTTTAAAATAAGGTAGACTGGGTGTACCTTCTTGAGAATGATACTTAGGCAAAGACTCAAAAGGGGGGGAGTTAACCACATTGGTACCTGGGGTGAAAGCATTCCAGGTAGAGGGAATAGTTCCAAGGTGTTAAGGCAGACCTGGTGGATTCTGTCTGGTATGGCTAAAACGGAATGAACGGAAAAGAGCAATAAATTTGGGTCAGGGTGGGATGTAGATTTCACACTGCTTTGTAGAGTCACAAGGACTTTGTCCAGAGTTTTCAACAGAGAAGTGACATGCTCTGCTTTCAGCTTCAGAAGGATCACCCCCCTTTGCAGGGGAGAACAGAAGAGGCAGGGAGACTTGTAATGAAGTTAGCAATCTGGAAGAGAGCTGCTAGTGACTTGTAAAAGTGGTAACCGGGAGATGGTGAGAAATGATTGGATTCTGGGTATACATTGAAGAATAAACAAAATGATTTGTTGATCAGATGTGGCATGTGAGAGAGGAGCCAAGGATGATTCCAAGGTTTTTTGGCTGAGTAGTTAGAAAGATGGAATTGCCATCAACCAAGGTAGCAGGTATAATTTTGACAAGAACAAGTTTGGGAAATAGGTTAGGAGTTCAGTTTTAGACATGGTTAAGTTTGAAATGCCTGTTAGACATTGGGGTTGAATTGATGGTCCCCTGGAGTTCAGGGGAAAGGTCCGGACTACTAGAGATACATTTTGTGGTCATCAACCTGGTATTAGAACCACAGCACTGGAAGAGATCACCAAGGGAGCCTGAGAAGAAAGAGACCAGGACCCGGGAGTGATCCCTTTAAATTGCAGTATTAAGAGGCTTTTATTATAGTGTGCAATGGAGGGGGGGATCTTAACTTGGATGGCATCCTTAAACTTGGGAAAATTACCTCTTCACTAACCTCTAACTAGAAGTTAGCATTTCTTTTAATTGTCAATATAAATAGCAAACTACAGGACTACCAACAGTACTTGTGATTTTACTATTAGTTCAAGTAAAATATTTTTAATAATATGCTGTGGTTGTAGATACCTCAAAATATTAATGTTTATTATTACATCAAAACATTGATGTAATGTAAGCATTACATTATGTACATCATTACGTCTCTACATTATAGTAGAGAAGAGATCTACCACTACATTAAGAAGCGTATGTATTGCTGTACCACACATTTGGGGTCTTTGTCCTCAACATAATTGGTCTCATTTGTAATCCTTGTATTTTATGCATTTAAAAATATTAAGCTGAGAAGAAATCCACAGGCTTCATCAGACTGCCAAAATTTTTTTGTCCAAAGCACACAAAAAAAGTTAAACCCTGGGCTTTGGAGCTAGGTTTTAGAATCTCACCTCTTTTTTTACTTAATAGCTTTATGAACCTTAGCAGGTTTCATAATTACTCTGTGCTTTGGTGTCATTATAAAGTGGGGATCATAATAGTATTTTCTGCAAAGGGTTTTATGAGAATTTAAGAATTAGGATAGTGTTAGCTCTTTTATTATTAGTACTGGATGGAAAGATGAAGCTAGAAAGAAGAGTACAAGGCATCATGATAAGAAAAGCGTGATGAATTTGGCCAAAATAAAGTTTATTAACTGGGAAAAAATATTTCTACATGTTCTAATAAAATATAAAGCAGTGAGGTTGGTCAAGTTCTCATAGAATTCTTGTAATTCACCTTAGTTAACAGTGGGAATGGAGATGCCATAGGAAGCCAACTAAGAGGAAATACCACTGGGAGGGTTTCCTGGCGAGAAAGCCTGATGAACTATTCTCGTACTTAGGAGAGAGTATACCTCTACAATATTTATGTTCCTCTGTGCTCTTTGCCAGATTTCAGGCCAACCATTCTTAATACTGACACATTGTCTTTAGAAAGGTATCAAGCAACTGTTGATACAGTTGTGTTTTACTAAGAAAAGCTCAAACTGCAAAGACATACTTTTAACCTATTAGTTGACCATACTTTCTTAG